ATTGTCACAATAATAACAATAATGATAATATTCTGGTGGGTTTGTGAAGATTGTTGGAATTGGTTGTTTGTATTACAGACAATAACCATTGAGAATATGTAAGCAGTGTAAAGCTATTTCATCCTAGCGTGGTACTGCACAGCGATGTGTTTATGAGTCAATCGGGATTCGAACCTAGTAGCTTTACGTATATAAACTAATGCTTAATCATTAGTTTCAAAGGCTAGAATCCATTGGTTAATATGTGCATATTTAAACAACCCACGATATTACAGGACCTTATTCCCATTTCAATGGTGAGTAATTGCTTGATATGTCAGTTAGTGAATGTTAGTTTAATAGTCTAATTGTTAGGCACAGATCATGAGAGGTTTGTACTGCCTAGCACAATGTCACACTTACATGGGTTATTCTAACTTTTGGATAGACGAATTAAGTTATTCTTTGCAAGTAAATATCTAAACATATTTTATCATCATACAACCATGATTATTAATTTGTGGGTGCATTTGTATTGCTTACTTATTCATCCAATGTCTAAAGCTTGCTTTTGTCCAGCTATAACTGGTGAGTTGCATCTTATCGAATGGAAATGACATAGTTACCTTACTTATTTTATTTTGGTTACCTGCTTCTCATTTTAATACCTATCTGTGTAAATGATTGCATAAAATAAATTCATCCAACCTAATTCATATTTAGCTTCTTATCATCGCCATCACTCAGTTGGGGTTAAACTGAAAATTTATGTTCATGGCGCTTACATTCGTTCATGCAAAGTGGAGTCAAATCTCGGAACACTAAACGTGAATATCTACGTTTTGATTTCCGGTGAGATCTTCGATACACTTACATATTTCTATACTAGGACAAAATACCTTTCCACTGCCTACAGGTTTTCAATAGTCATCTATCTAATTAACGTTTTTGAAATATTAAAGGTGTAATTCGTTGAGTTAAATAAATCGGGATTAAGAAGTTAATTTATCTATATCATGAAATGAGCGTCGTGTTACATTTAGTCAACTTTGACGTTAGAATTTCGGGTACTTTGGTAGATTTATGTAATTGAAGAGGAGCACAGATAAAATTCATTTTGTTAAATCTAGAGTTCCATTGAACCAAATTAGGAACATCAAGATATAATTTATCGAGAGAAAACTTAAGATTATTCGAATGTTCAGTGAATTATTTCGATCACACTATTAAATCTCCCACACAATCTTTAGATAATACTGGGGAGATTCTAATCGAAAAGAACGAACTGACGATACTTTTGAGCGTAACAGCCTTATTCACTTCAATCGAACAAAACCCCACAACGAAAACCCTATTCATGCTCCTCATTGATCACACGAAACTCCAAAGTCAAATCCCAATATAACTCATCGATTTATACTTGAAAACATATTTTCAATTCAGCAATAAAACCTATGGACAGCCAATAGGAATACCGTTGAGATCACCAATATCAGGACTTATTGCTGAAAGCCTTGACTTCACCGGTGATCAAACCGAAAATGTGAATTCGTTAGCTGAACAACATCCAAAAAGACAAGTTGAAAAATACCTACAATTCGATCGTGGATATCGATAAAAAAACTCAATAAAAAAACAGTCAAACAACTAACTATCATCGTTGGATTTATTGATCATCAAAGCCGATAAACAAAAACTGGAGACTCAAGTATATTTAAAGCCGATGCAAACAGATTAAACAGTCAATTGCAATAGCAAAAACTCAAAAACTCACAAAATCAACTAAGCGCAACACGGAGAAATGATCAAGACTATTTTATGATTTTAACTTTCAAAAGAACATTGTCCCACACATCTACATCAATAAATGTCAATTCAGCCCATAAGAAAAAATGAAATCAAATGTAAAAACCAAATAACCAGATTATTCTATCATATATAAAAGACATAACAAAAAATTACAAAGAGATTATTGAAGTCGTTTGAAATAAACCAGTGAAATCGCGTTAATCACCGTTATGCCAACTAAAGGACGACATGACAGGGAAGAAAAATCCGATGTTATCTACAGAGTAAGTTGTTTTTATTACGAAAAACACTACATCGTACGAAATGGAAACTCGTTTCATCTGCGTCTGCTTTAAAATCAGTCAGCGGCCAAACAACATGATGAATCTTTGTTTTCAGTCGACTTGGAAACATTTTAAAATCTTAGATAGAGAGAATAGTAAGAATTCTCATAAGTTGGTACTCAGGTCAATAGCAATCAATAAGGCACATCGAAGTTGATTGAAGTTATCGACTTATCGGAAAACTCATGGATAAATATAGAATCAAAGATCAAATCAACGAGAAAGTAAACCAAAATAAAGACACAGACAATAATGAATTCAATGTTAACAATAACTAAATCGATAGGACGAGCTGTTCATTTGTAGAGAAACTGGAATACTTCACTTTTATCTGCAGTTTGCGCGGATCATGTTGTTAAGATGAACAATGAAAGCTGCATGACTATGACATCCAGTACAAAGAATGTAGAATCACTGAAATCATCCGCCTGAGCTTCGAATCTTTTTGGGGAAGTTAGATTCCTAGAACTCATTTGAAAAAGGTCCTACCTTTGTAATTTATTTCTGACATTTTGAATGTTTATGTTTTCTCTCCAAACTCGCCTAGTTAACCTTCAGCTTAACATTTCCCCCTCAGAAAGTCCTTGACTGTCATTTGTTGACGGATTTTTTTAGTACGTTGTTTTGTGGCTATCGCAAGGGTGTTTCTATCATTATATAAATAAGCTTGATTTGTGTGCTTAGCATCTGCGTATTTCCTGGGTGCTTGTAGAATACATTTTCTACGCCTTATCAAGACTTCATACTTTTGTTAACTGGGCCTGGGACATCGTGTCACTGTATCATTGATCTTCATTCCGTTTACGGAGTAAGTTGAACTTGTAATGGCATTCAAGCATATCAATTGGCGAGCAAATCAAATAGTCCTCACTATCTCATCATCTAAGCTTAACACAAATGAGATATTTACCGAAACTGTAAAAACCCAAGGAGTGTAAAGACATAGATAAAAATTGAAATTTGCAGTCAAGAACTATGATGTAGTAATTCCATTTCACCATTTCTAAAGCTGTTTTTAAAAACAAGTAGTTGATTATCTCTGTTTGCTCCCATTTTATTAGGTATTTTCGAATGTTAAGTCATTCACATCTTGAGTATGATTTGCTTGCTAATATTTAAAAAGCTAAAATGCTCCTGTTTAGTATTGTCTAGTATTGAGCTTTTCGATAGCTCACATCCATGAAGTGAGTTAGAATCCAACAATCTACATGTTCATCTTTGATTAGTTGATGAAATTGTTCAATGATCGATCATACAACAATAGAATCAATAAGTGACTGTTTAAAATCCCAAACAAAGGTTGAACTTTATCAGTTACAGATACAAAATTATCAATTCAAGAACATCCGATTGTTTTATTGTTTAAAATGTTTGTCCGAGTGATAGATTAACTTTGACGACAGCTTTTCTATTGTCGGTTATGTGGTGATTGGCATTATGTACGATTGTGTCCATTTAAAAAACATAAATTTCAGATGTGCAACAAACGTGGACATAAAGAAGGCCATTGTCAACCGAATCGTACATCTCAGTCCAGGAAGAAGCACAAACGTACTCGACATGTGGTGAAATTAGCCGAGTCTAAATCACTTTCTCTGGTAGCTGCTTTTCAAACAGACTATGACATTCGGAGAAAGTATGTTACTATCCAGATCAACGGTGCATCAGCTCGCTTTCAAATCGACACGGCATCAGATATCACCTTAATGTCTAGAGAAACGTACAACTCGCTGGGAAAACCGCCAATGAAGCCATCTAAGAAAACAGCTAAAAGCGCTTCAGGTGGTGTGTTAAAACTGATTGGTGAGTTCCATTGTGAATTTTCCTTCAAAGGAACAAAATGTACGGGAAAATGCCATCTGACAGAACGCCTAAACCTTGATCTTCTTGGTCTAGACATGCTAGAAAAACTGGAAATAATGGATTCACCCATTAACAGTGTCTGCAGCGTGTCGTGTTCATCATTGGACACCCCGATACTTACAAAGAAGACAGGTGAAAGGTTACAAGATAGACGGAAGAGGAAGTCAGCCTCTATTTTTCAGAATAGCCTTGGCCGCTGTACGAATCTGAAAGCTCACTTACCAGTGAAAGCCGATGCCAAACCTATGTCATGTCCGAGACGCCCTACACCATATGCTGCTTATGAGCCTCAACAAAACTTATCGATGGTGAAGCAGCCCAATCCTAATCCAATCAGCGCCTGATCGATTCTTGGAGAACAGAGTAGAAAATTCTCGTATTGTCAGCTGCATGCTGATTGGCTAAATCTAACCCAGTCGACCACGTGAAATACTATCCAGAAGCTTCTCATGTAAATACTATAAGAAACTAACTTTGTATCTATTTCGGCCTTCGCCTTTGGCTTCTTATTTCCATTTAACCTTGCTATTTGTAATATAATCTTTTCCTGTTCCACCGTGTTTTTGATTCTTTAGATCTTTTCCAGTGTATTATGGTCAGGGAATACTAAGCAATAGGATTTAGCTGGAAATTATTCAAGCAAGCGTTACAACACCTATCAAAAGGAATTTGTTGCCTAATTGTTTTCTTTTTCAAATGAACTGAAGCTCCTAATGCACTTCATTCAATATATATATATATATATATATATATATATATATATATATATATATATATATAAATCGAAAGGTCTACAATCAATTGCTTATGTAATAAAATGATCAAAGTACGTTAGAATTGATAAATTACTAAAGTAGCATGCACTGCACTCTAAGTATATGTAAAAAAAAAAGAAAAAAGTATCAGGGATATTAATAATGAATCTATGCAGTATAGAAATTGACAATAATAAATTGCGTAAAATCCCTAAATTTTCTAATAATTACGTAAATATATTTAACTCATCAAATAGATAGATGTGCATGTTATCGATCAAATTGACACAAACTTGTTAATAACAATATAAAACAAGATTTATGCATGATATGACTTTAAACTGATAAATATATTATATAATATATATTTTTATAAATCACAATAATAAGAAAGAAATTGTTTTAAATGAAATTATTAAATATAAGACAATTAATACTAGTGTATTATTACATAACTAGTTGGTCACAATGTATAGGATATTTAATGTTAATGTCACAAAATAGTGACACTTATCAACAACACATAGATAAACCATGGAATTATTATAGTAATAATAATGATGAAGCGAACATTCCATCAGATGAACAATATTATGATGAAACAAATAATGCAGTGTATAACGATGACAATCGTGCAACACCATATGATTATTCTGTGGATGAAGCTGATGCTGGTAATAATTATGCTGAATATGAAGAAGCTGGAACTTATTATCCAACGGATGATTATCATGGTAATCATTATGATGATCATAGTCAATATTATGCACCAATTGAATACGACGACTACTACTACTACAATGATCAAACAAATCATGATGATAATATTCACTATGATGAATATGATCCAAGAGAAAGTAGTGGTGGTATATTAATGCATCATTATCATCAGTCAAATCATCATCATATGGAAAGACGACATCCTTATGATGGTCGTCAGTATAATGGATATCATGAAGATGATGTTGAACAAAATTATTACGGGAATGAAGGTGATTATGATCATCATGACGATCAATATAATGATCATTACAACAATCCTAATTACAACAACAACAACTACTACTACGACGATGACGGCTACGACAACGGTGACTATTCTAATTATGATGTAAATGATAATGATAATTCTGAGGATTATGGTAATTTTCGTGACTATTCACATCAACCTATAGCATCATATAAACATCAAAAATATATACCACATAGATTGTACAATTTAAAAGATTACTTTCCAATTGATGAAAAATTATATATATTTTATCCGAAAGATTTAAAATCACAATATTATACAGTTCGTACAATGGAACCTAGTAGATATGGTCAATTTCATCGATATTTTGAAGGTGAATTAGCGAGTAAAAGTGTTCATGGACGTTTTAAAGAAGTTTATCCAATGGTTTATGGTGAATATACTCATTTCAATCATAAAATACATGATAATAATTATAATAATAATAATCATCATCATCATCATCGCCATAATTATGATTATAATCAGAGACAAAATCATCATAAACCAATAGTCGAAACTCATCATCATCATCATCATCAGCATCATCTTCCTAACTGGCATAAACATTTACCAGATGAAAAATTTAATCAATATGAAAATAAAGAAGAAATATTTAATGAAATATTTGGTTTTGGTAATTCTATAAAAGCAACTGATTATGAAGAAACGATATCATATCATCATACTGGTCAACAAGATCCAAAAGGTAAAATTCGAAATTATTCTAATTATGATATTTATGGTCGTATGAAACGTTCCAGTAAATCGGAATTAGGCGGTCGATTTGAAAAAAAATATCATACTGTTATTGATACAGATAAACGAAAGAATCGACATACTGTTAGTTATATTCCATTAAATGATAAATCAAAATATCATCGTAATCATGCTAATCAACGTAGATATTCAAATGCATATCATAAATGAAGCCATATGTCAATAATTCAAAATGATGAATATATACACAATTATAGGCAAATTGAATAATAAATAATATTAACCAACTATAAATTTATTCCAATAATGAAACATTGAACTGTATTAATATTTGCTTGTGTTTTGAATTTGTTTTTCTTTGCCCTAATAATACTGCAATTGATCATTTGATGTTTGTTTAGTTTGTTTTAATTTCATCATGTTCAAAGAATGTGTTATTTTAAGAATGAAATTTATGTTTCAAGGACATGTATTATTGTTCAGTTATTGATGTTAATTAATTAAACTGCAACAGATGAGTCATTCTTGATATATATATATATTGTGTTCATTCCAAACAAAACATTACGATATTTCGCCTGTATTTGTAGCGTAAGGTATGGAGTTAGTGACCTTGAACACTGAAATATAGAAGACAGATGAAACTGAAAGATCCCCCCCCCCAAAAAAAGAACGAAATATTCGTCTTGATTTCCATTGTAGGCTATTAAACTTTTGGTAATAATGAAGATATTGTTTCTCCTTGTTTTACGCTTATTACAATTAATTATATAAAGCCCTTTGCAGTGTGTTCAGAAATCTATATATCAGCAATAGCACAGAACCAGTATTTTTCTTCAACTATGAACTAATCAATATTGAGTGAATATGTATAAGTTGTGAGAAGAGTTTAGTAAATAAATTTGTGAAATTCCAATAGTTAAGGTATATGAAGTTAAGTTTTATCTAGAATATACTATGATGATTACATTACAGATATAAAAAAAATTAGTTTGAGATTATTGGCAATTTTTGAATAACTAACACGAACTAAGTGATTGAATGAAGAAGTTGAATAGAACTATTCTCAGACAACAACATAACGAAATCTTAGATGACAATAGGATTAAAAATGGCAAATACTTTTTCAACAAGAAGACTCTCGTAAAACTGAACACATTTTGGATGAAAAATGTACATCAATCGGAATCAATTTAGGTTAAATAATCGAACGAGGAAGATAAAAGTGTATCTACTAGTTTTATCTATTTATGTGCAGCAAGTTCTATTGGATACATAAAATGAGCTCTTTCGAAACCCATTAACAAACGATTTGCCAGCCAGGATTTCCAAAGCATTACAGAAGTCAGCCAAAAGCTCGATTTTAGAATACATAGTAGATTCCGGCGGCTCCGCCTCATCAGAAGCCTGCTTTAAAATCTTCCATACAGTCAGAAGAGTTGACTCAAAACAAAAGTGAATAAAGAACCTGTGTAAAACAGAAGCTATTGTGATCTGCCAGTACAAACTTAACCTCTGAATAAAAAACAGCACGTTCAGTCGCTTTTTCTTTCATAGTCTCAAACTTCCTTTCGATCCTTTCGTAATCTATGGATTTTTGTTGTTGTATCTGTTTGTTTGATTTTCGAATTATTGATCCTAATCCATTTCAATTATTTCGCAACACTTCCGTTTATTCTGCTTTGATGAGATATTTAGTGGACAATTTTCCATACTTTAGCACATATCACTACAAACTGGTTATTATTATTATTATTATTTTATGTAATGACACGTTTATTTTATTACTATTCCACATCATTCTCTTTTACTATGAACCATTATTTTAGAAAATTAAATTATCTATAAATACGACTGTGTAAGATCTATTTTTTTTGAAGGCTTTGTTTGTGAAAATCCTTTCATGTATATATTTGTAATTTATCCTTATTGATTCCTCCAGTTGTAGATTTTGTTAGTCTGTTCGATTTCATTTTGAAATGATAATATTTGTATTCTATTATAGTTTCTATTTCTTCTGCCTCTACTGAGTTTCTACGTTTCTTTCTGAACTGCATTATGTTGTTTAATTTGATACTTAGTTATGGCGACAGCCATATTGATTTGTTCCTCTGTTGATTGGATTGCTTACTTGGAATGAAATTGTGCTTTTTGTTTGAGAATTGAAGCACTCTTTCATAATAGGAAACACACTGTGTTATAAAGCAACCAAATATTATCTATCGAACGATTATGATTTATCCAGGAGGGATAGAATAACATTTATCTGTTGCTGTTGATTTGAATAATTGAACAATTATTGGTGGATTCGCTGAGTGGTATTATTGTTTGGGTAATGATGTATATTTACATTTAAGATGAATATTAAAACCGTGTATTTACGCAAATCAATTGTTTTGGATTTAAACTGGGTCAAGACGCGTATATAAACTACCTAGACAGTTATTCCTTAGTTCAAACCTCAGTTTGGATCCTACAGACTGCGTAGTTTAAGTAAACGAAATTGCTGAAACGAAAATTTTTTCTTCACAGAATTGCTTTTATTTTATTCAAAAGTAAGATTGTTGTCTAAAATATTCAAATAATATTTTCAGTAGGATTTATCATTGATAGTGTTTTACGTTAAACATACAGAGCCCCTGAATACATGATATTTAATCAATAACAAACTACGTTATTCCATGCATATACCAGAGCACTGTCAAGGACGTAACATCCCCAGAACTCACTTGATAAGTATTTTTATTTTGGATTTATTTCATGGGCCGATCAGTTGACTTTGAGATCACAATTCCAACCAGAAAAATCCTTGGCTGTGATTGGTTACTGTGTCATTTTAGTGTGCTCTTTTGTGACTCTCCTAAGGATATCATTTAGTGCTAGCTGGTTGTTCGTAGAGTACACTTTCCACGCTATATCAAGACTTCTTGCTGGTACAATAGGTTCAAAGGATCACAGTAGCCTACCTGGACGCTGGTTCATTGTTTTGTTCTCGTTATTCGACTAAGCTGAACCCGTGATAGTTTTAAGCATACCCAGAGACGAGTGTAACAAGCACATTATTGGAATATGCAAAAATAATTGAATAAAGCTATTATAATGTTCAAACCAACAACATACCTCTTATCAAATAAAAAAACTATTTTATAACGTTAGACAATTAAGAAGAATTATAATCACTAAAAACTTTCGATATACTAATCTTATAAACTGTCTACTCTCAGAAACTCTCACTACTAGAAAGGACAACAACAGAAGTAGAATAATGTAGACTTAAATTTACTTCGTAGATTGTTTGCGATCCAAATTAAATTACTTGAG